TGGCAGTCATATATATGGGCTTGGCGGTAGCGCAATGGTTAAGGTGCCTGGCACTGATGTTGTAGTGCTTAGGTTCAAATGCAAGCAAATCCCCACATATCATTGTGACTGGTACATGGATAAGCGCTTTTTCTAAACGTGTTTTGATATTTAAGGCTGACGTCTCATAGGAAGGATTGATGAAGGACGCTATTATGAAAACATAAAAAAATGACCAACGTGCAGTTGAACGTTATCCGATCTAACTATAATTTCATATTAAACATTTCTTTTACATGCTATAAAGTTTCCTATACTTCAGCACATACAAAAAAATCTACCATCAAGGAAACATTTGCGTATGTATGCATACATTAAAACACACACACACACTCACTCACAGTAACTCACACACACAAACACATTGTAATTGGCACCCGCATCCACATAACCACACACACACCACACACACACCACACACATACACACACACACACACACACAGAAAATGCACACACACATCAATTTTTTCAATAAACATACAATCACCGACTTCTCACTAATGGTAGTCTTCCATCCCAAACGCCATGACGTCATATATACACGAGGCATTTCCCGTGTGTATATGCGGGAATGATTAAAAGTAAATTCAAACTAAACTATGGAAAGCTACATCAAAATGCTGCTATTTCTTTGAAGTCGTCTCCGAGCTTGCATTTGCTGTTATGATGTATAATGGTGATGGAGAGAAAAAAAAATGTTTTTCATGATGTTCAAAATGTGATGATGTTCGTTTGTCACATTCGAATAGTATGATCCATTGTTTAGATATCATGATTATTTTATATTTTTATGGTTTTATTTTTCAGAAAATAAGTTTTTAGTGAAATAATTATAACAAAGTAAGAGATATTGTCCTGTAATGAACATTTTTTGCATGCGTGATGTGCAATTATTCAGCTGAAATCTACAAATTGTGACTAATTTTCCGCCCGTTCTGACGACTTGATTGATTTCTGTGGACTAATTGAAACAGCGTTTTCGTGCACTGTTGCTTTTTATATTGTTGTTGTTGTTGTTTGGTTATGTTTTTATTGCTTTGTTGTTTTTGTGTGTCGTTGTGTTTTCATTTGTGAAAGAACATAATTAAGTTTTTTTTCTAACTGAAGAATGTATTGTTATGACCATGAGTTGGTCATACAAATTGTAATGGCACCGTGATTTGTATAACAGTTATTAAAATAAAATAAATGTTGATAGAAATAATTATTGAATATTTTAATAATGAAATAAAAAACTACAAACAAGTTTTAATGAAGAAATTGAAACTACTTAGCATTAAAATTGGCATATGAATCGAAACATCACCTCAAAATTGAAATCATTCTAGCAACTCACTCCTTAAAATATGTTGTTTAAAAAGAAAATTATAAATTTTTGTAATAATAATAATAATAACAATCATAGACCTAAGCAAGAATGATATTAACAACATTTTCTAGTAATTAACGCCACGTTATAATCCTTAAAAAATCATTCTTGTATAAATTAATCAATTGTTATTTCATAGAATTTTTTTTAAATAAACCATATACGCAATATGTAGGTGTAGTTTTATTGTTGTTGATGTGTAATATGAAGCTATAAATATATTAATATCACGGTTTAACCTTTCAACGCGTTTTAGCATAGCAACTGTAAGAAAATCGATTGAAAATATAAAAAAAATCAATTGAAATGTAATTAAAATGATGAAAAAGTATTGTGAGTTATCGTGTGAAGGTTGGGTTGATCATGGCTGTTTAAATTTTTATTCAGAGAAATCTATTTATAATTTTATGCTTAAAATTCGAAATAAAATTAAATTTAATCAAAGTTAGTTTGAGATTTAAATTGAAATAAATATTAATAAATTGATAATTGAATACAAAAGAATATAGAATAGAGCTCGTTCTCATCAAAAATAATTGTTTGGTAGAATAAATTTGGATGTGAGAAAATTATTTCACAGTAATTTCACAAACTATTTCACAATAATTTCATAAAAAAAAACTAGAAATATTCATTTGAAATCGAAAATATATAGCACATTTATACAAATCAACGATTCAATAGATAAATCTGTATGTATGTATATATATATATATATATATATATATATATATATATATATATATATATATATATATATATATATATATATATATATATATATATATGTGTGCATGTGAGTGTGTGTGTGTACACCAACAAACACACTCGCACAAACAAAACAACTCAGACAAACATGTCACACAGAAATATATTAAATAACAGAAATTAATTTTATGTCCCTTGTTCATGGGCGGTCTTCATATCACAATTTTTTCCCTATTCTTCGATAATTTTTTTTTGTAGAAGTTTCTTTTTTATAAAATGAAATTGATTTAGAAAATTTTGAATAATAAAAATGTGCTTTTTTTACTGGTTTTATTTAATAATACAACTTTAAATCTTTGAAAAAAAATGAAAATAGTTATTATTTGATTCATTAAATTTCAACAAACAAGATACTTACAAACAAACACTTTCAATTATTCTCCGAATATACATTGCAATTAAACACATACACTTACCTAGAAGACTGCTAGCAAACATGCAAACAACAGAAGCAGAAAACACCAAAACTAGAGTAGAGAGAAAGAGAAAGAAAGAAAGAGGAAGAAAGACTGGATGATTTATAAGGGTTGGCATAAGAAACAAGTCGGTGCAATTCGATAAATAATACTTAAGTCGTTATATGCGAAGCCTTGTGCATAAATATATAACGAAATATGAAAAATAGAACGATACGTAACGATACATAACGTTTGTATAACAATCCAACGAGTTATAAATTTGTTGTAACACTATTATACCGCAGAGTATAACGCTTGAATATAACAAGTTTATGTACTTTGAGAATAATCGCAGAATGAATGCAGTGTTTTTGTTGTCGTTAATGTGTGGTGATGTTATTTTATTGTTGTTGCTACGTTGTGTTTGTCACGTGTGTTGTGTCTTCTTCTAGGTTGTTAAACGTATGAAGGTTGTATTAATGTTTTCTGGTATTTTAATGAAATTTTAAAGAGATTTGATGGTGTAGAATGCATTTTAATGCAGATGACGTCAATTATTTGAATGAACGAAAATATTTAGTTACATTTTAAATCAGGGAATGATTTTTGGCTTAAAATTACATAAAAAAATTATTCATTGGTATAAAAAGAATTTTTTTTAAAGCTTTCATCTTGAAACAATTTTGATAGAAAAAAAACTGTTTAATTTTTACAATAAGTTTCACCCAAACTGGATATAAATCTTCACAACTTACTGTTATAATGAACAAATCCAACACCAGTATAAAATGCTTAATAAGATTTTTAACCACACGTACACCTGCAAGTGATGCGGTGTTTCATGATTGTTCCATGTTTCAAAATATACGTCTTTTTGTTTAATATTTATTGTTTTTTAATATAATTTAATTATTTTTTTTTAATTTTTCATTTTGAAAACACGAACTAAATGAGTTTTTATTTTTCTAATGCTTTTATTCTTCAAAACTTCATTCAAATGATACAAATTTTAAACAAAATAACCAGAAAATCATTTCATTCAACATCATTGCTGTACGAAACACGATATAAATTCACATATTTATTGAAAAATAATCAAAAAACTCAATAAATATTCAATATATGTGTATTATTTCATAATACTATTAACATTATTATAATATAATTATAACGTTATTAATATTATTACTTATACTTAATAAACCTAAGAATAATAATGGTGGTTAGTGTCCGGTTAATGTTTGTGTATCTATTTTTTCAGAGAGTTGATATATCAACTGGGAATATATGGGTATCTAGATGATACTGTTGTGTATTTGTCGCTGAATTTTTGACGATAATATTTAACAAAAAAAATAGTTTATTTACAAATTTTATTTACACGCAATAAATTGAAACTCTTCATATCGCGATTGAACTGTTTTACAAATGTAATAATAACATTATTTTTATCAAAAAAGAAAAAAGTTTATATTTCAAAAATTAATTTTAATATTTCAACAACAACAACAGCAACAACAGCAAAATAGCGATGAGACTACGACAACATTCACAACTACAACAATAACTAACTCAACACACTGACTTTACACAAAACAAATTAACTACGCATACACATACACACACATACATAATTCTATAAATTTTACCGAATGTTTGGCGTTAATATGTTTGTAGTTCGG